CTGCCAGCTCCCAGATCAGCTTCTCTGATTGGTTGATGCGGCGCGTCGAGCAGCAAAACTTCAATTTTTCCATCTTGAGCAGCAGCGCGTTTGCGGCGCATTAGATGCTTAAATGCACCCGACGCGCAGCTTCAGCTGCTCAGACGCGCTGCGCCTGCTCCTCAAAACGCGCTGCGGGACCTTTTGCTGCGCCTTGACGTGCGTCAACCATTGACTTTGCATGTAAACTCGCTGCTTCTGTCGCGCCAGCTGCGTCCGGGGTGAACGCAGCATTATATGATTTCCATGTAGACCAAGAAGTTAAACCAGAGCTCCTGTTTGGTATCTGTGCCGTTCCTCCTCCTGAAGCATTTTTTTAAACATCTTGTTTCATCTCCTAATTCTGCCATAAAGACCAGATTTATAGAGAAAAAAAACAAAAACAAATAAAGCCAGTAAAGATCCACGAGGCAGCATACCTCACAGCTTCTCTCTCTGAGCGTGCGCTGAGATATCTTTGGACCTGAGCCTGGTTCACTCCATACAGGGACAGCATGAGGAAGACCCCTCCCACCCCCAGAGTCCAGAAGGTGTGTCTCTCTGTAGGATCCGGGTTTAAGCTAAAACAACGGAGAGAAAAAAAATCTAGTCTAAGATCATTTTAACAAACATATTCTCCCACCCAGGTTCTGTGATGCTTTAGTTTGGACTGAACTCACTCCAGTCCAGATATTCGGTTTCCCTCCTTCACTTTCCTCCACACCTCGGACACCCCCCCGGTCCGCTGTACTCCCACAATGATGACAGCAAGCTGACCGGCGAACATTACGACCGTCTGAAAGACATCCGTCCAGATGACAGCCTTCAAGCCGCCCTGCGGAGGAACAACCAATCAGAACATTTTATTTTAGTCAAAGCAGGAAAAAATGTAAATGAAACACAGATTCAGGAAAGGAGTTTCAAACAAACCGTTATGCAGTAGTGGTGTAGAATAAAAAAAACTAAATGAAAACTAAAGAAATTTAGAAAATTAAATTGATAAAATGATTTATTGTAATGGTGTAAATTAAAATAATGAATCAAAATCAGACCAAAGTATTTGAACTGCTTGAATGAAAACAGCTTGGCAACTTTTGCTCTTCGCTGTTTTTAGTTAAGAAAAATTGTCTTTGCTCCTGGAATTTTATTTGGAGAGAACTGAATAATAAGGCTGGGCGATAATTCAATAACGATATATATCGATCGATAGACGTGTGGCGCAACAGAAAAAAAGAGAGTCGATAAAAGTTCGATAGAGAAACGCAGTTTTCCTTCCTTCTCATTGTAGCCTAGCATGTAGGTTTATGCTAGTCACT